TTGGAACTTCTTTGTCACATTCTCCCCTACAAAACTATGCAAGAATCATGTCCCAATTCTTTCCAGAACTCAAATTATTACTGTTTGAAGTCGTATGCGTTGCGTCGTTTTAAGTATACGCATCCGCATCTATCGTTGGAACTTCGCAAGGAGGTAAGCGTTTCTTTTAGGGAACTGTTTACGTTATACACACTTCAACTGTTTATACTATGCTGCAGATAACGTTCAACTGGGGCTTCGATTTTCTGTCTGCATTGGATTCAGACAGTACCATTCGAGCCTGCATCGTGAAATATTCGAAGCATTTTCTGAAAATATAAAAGTTACGTTTAAGCTTATATCTTGTTTTGTTCGTTTGAGGATTCTGTTTTTGTTTTCTTTGTATTTAGTGTATTAGTGTGTATATTTATACATTTAGTGTTTAGTATTTTATATATATTCTGTGTTTTGTAAAGTTTAAGTTATATATAAGTGTGGGAGACGGATAGCCACTGTGCGAGGACTAGGACAAAAACGTGTCCTCGCCAGCCGATAAGACGCGCACGCGGGCCGTTGGCTGATGTCAACGGCACGAAGCGTAAACAATACATGGATGCGTGCGATAGGTGAGCGACCGATGAGTGCGAATGTGAGAGTGTGTGTGCGAAAGAGAAAGAGACAAAGGGCGATAAAGCGCATACGTAGCCGAAAACTGATATATAAACCACGAAGCAACGAGAGAGAGGGACTTTTCTGTAAAACAGCGAGTATTGCGAGATAGCGAGTATTGTGAGATAGCGAGAATCCATCCGAGATTATCAAGTACGAATTTGATCATATTAATAAAATTACTTACACCCGTAAACACGTGGGATAATTGTCTCAACCGACAACCCGATCAAAATCCCTACATAAGTTTTGTTTTGTTTTACATTATTTTATTTGTATCTGGTAAGTACGAAAATACTTTAGGGTTTATTATATGAATTATTTTCGACATTTAACATATTCTTTTTTATTATTCAAATATTAGTTGTTTAACGGAAATGGATACTTTTCGCAAAAACAAAGATTTATATTTTATATTACGTAATGCGAAAAAAGATATGAGTGACTACTCGTTTATATGTGAAAAATTCTGTGGGACAACTGACATCTTTTCGGAAAGCTTGAAGGCATTAAAAACAAATTTTTAAAAATTTACTTTTAAGTTAAAACAAAAGTGGGTCCAATCTCGTTACACGGAAACCGTATTCTTAAGTTATAATAAGGAATGGTTAGAAAGAAATTTCATGTACCCAAATATTCCAGATATTCCGTCGACATCTACAACAGTAAGATCGCGGCCATCTGTAATATCTATCCACAAAGGGAAAAAATTATTTTCTGTGTGTAGCAAAAGAGAAAAGATACGAAGAATGCGGTCACTTGTTACAAATTTTTCCCTGGATGAATTGTTAAATGCAACAAAAATGAGTATGAGAAACCATGGCATGCATAAAAAGGCCCGTTTGCTTCAATATTTGCAGAATAATGAATGCAGTAAAAGTATTGAAACTGTTTTGAAAAATAGATGTGTAACAAAAAAAGGGATGTTCAGTGTAGAAAAAGCTTTAAGCATTTTTGTTATGGCAGAGTTTTCTAAATTTCAATACATTACGATTCGAAATGAATCAATAAAATGTAATAATAATCAGTGGCCATCATATTTTAACTTATTAAAAGAAAAAAATAATTGCTATCCACTGTTCGAGATTCTGTAGAAGTTTCGACGGGGGAGAGGATGACGGTTCCCGTTCCACGGCGCGAGCGGATCGCGTCGTACCGAGTGCTGACGCGTGTCACACCATCTATGTGTCTATCGTGTCACACACCGTCTTCCGCTCCCCAACCGCCATGCTTTTGCCGAATTGTGCGAACTTCCTTCTTCTCGTACGGGCTGTCGAACTGGACGGACGTGTGTCTCTCCTCCGTCGTGCCGTCGAATAATCCACGCGTGCTTTAGCCACTCGTTTGTGCTGGCGAGTTGGCCACGCGTGTTCTTTTAACTTCTCGTTTGCGCACAGGCTAGTACTAAGCCTTCACGAGGACACTGTGTTGTTAATCGGACGAACCGTAAAGGTAATAAAGACCCGTTATGTAAGTGTGTACGAAAATTCAAACCTAACCTTACATCCTCGCTATTCATGACCACGTGTGCTCAATTCCGTTCCCGATCGGCACTTTTGCGAAGCGGGCTGCTACACTCAACCCACTTCTTGTAACGTTATTTTACTTGGCGATCTTTATTCGCAACACCACAAAAGAATACAGTAGAAATTACAGAAACCTACGCTAAAGTTGAATTACAAAGTTTATTAAAATATAAACAGACTTGTAAAAAATATTGAAAAGTTTAAACAGACATGTAGAAAATGCACAATTAATACTCACATCCAAATGGGGTTGTGATGGAGCGTCTGGGCAGCAAAGGTACAAACAAACATTACATACAGACAATATAAACGAGGATACTGTTTTTGTTTCAAGTTTAGTACCTTTAAGACTTCAGAACAAATTGAATTCTGAAATAATATGGGAAAACCCACGACCATCATCGCCCTGGTTTTGTCGTCCAATTAAATTTGAATTTGTTAAGGAAACCAAAGATGTCATCGATAAAGAAATAAATCGCGTTAATAAGGAAATACAAAATTTAAAAAAAAAAAACTAAAATAAATAACAATGAAGTAGAACATGCATTGTCTCTAACGATGGTGGACAATAAAGTATGTAATGCATTAACAAACACCACATCTGCAATGCGCTGTTATATTTGCAAAGCAAAACCAACCGAAATGAACAATTTAGATGTAGTCAGTTCCAAAATTTCTGATGGCAATAATTGTAAATTCGGAATATCTTCACTGCATGCGTGGATTCGATGCATGGAGTGTTTGTTACATATATCATACAACATACCATTTAAACAATGTGTAACGAATAATTCGTTACGGCGTCCCCGCGCAACGCCAGCGAGGCACCGCGAGGCAACTACCGTCGCGGCCGCGAGATGGCTACGCGCGCCTCGCGGTTCTCGCCGATAAGATTGTGCCTCGCGGCTACAAATACCGCAGCGCGAGGCACAATCGGGGCAGATCTCGACTCCCTGCGCACCGGCTCACACCGACCGCAAACGAGCTCTCTGCTTTTTGATCCGCCAAGGTACTCACTCACTGGGGCGCTGTCCCAGTGGCTGCAGGAAGCCTTTAACCAGAGGCCCTCCGACAGTGTCGGGTCAAACCCACTGATCGGGCCATCCCGACCCCTCTTCCCCCATAGGCAGTCACCTAAGGGGGCGGGGACACCACGGGTCTCCTCCACCCGACCGACGGAACGGCCCCAGGCCGTCCCACGATCGAGGGCAAACCTTCCCTCCACCACGCCGCCTGAACCGCCGCGTCCCGACCGCCGCACCGCCGACCGAGGACACCGCCGCGCCGACTACCGCCGAGCCGCCGACGCGTTCCGACCGCCGCGCCGCCAACCCAGGGCACGGCCGCGTGCACTTCGCCGCGCCCACCGACTGCCGCCGCATTTACTCCGCCGCTAGCCCGTAAGACTAGGATATAAGGACCCCCGAATCTTGTAACCCCCCCCCCCCCCGAAGACAAATAAAGCTACCGGTTAATCAAGCTACACTCGTCTCATTCGTTCGACCCCTGGCAGCCGACTGAGCTGGCCTCCTTCCTCTGTCCCGCCGCGACATTCGTCGCAAATGGATTGCAAGTACGGCTGAAATTAAGAGAATTCATACGGAAAGGAGAATCAAAATTCAAGAGCAATTTAAAGAAAGAATGGGACTACTCATCGACTTTGTTAAACAAGGATGGGGCTCTTCGAATGACGGGAATACCGCAAGACGTTTTTTTCAAAATGCAGAACTTTCTGCTGAAATTACCGAAATCGATATAACATTAATTAAAAAGTTCCATACGATATTACAGGTAAGTTTCTCTCCGCATCAAATAAAATGTTTTAATTGTTTTAATATTATTGTTAATTAAAATATTCCAAACCACATTACAGACAATTTCCTCACCACACCAAATAGATATTGCAGCATTTCAAGTGTATAGCCAGAATACTGCTAAATACTTTATAGAACATTATGGTTGGTACTATATGCCGGCCTCCATTCATAAATTGCTTATACACGGAGGAGAGATAATAAAGCACGCATTATTGCCAATTGGCCAACTCTCCGAGGAGGCACAGGAAGCAAGACATAAAGATTTTAAAAAATTTAGAAACAAAAATACTCGAAAATTTTCAAGAACAGCTACAAACGCGGATATATTTTACAGATTATGTTTAACTTCTGATCCTCACATATCAACGTTAAGAATTAAATCTTGTAACAAAAAAGGTAAACAACTGGATCCTGAAGCTATACATCTGATTATTAAATAAAAAAAGTAAAATCAAATGTTATTATAGCAATAATAAAATACAACGAGAACTTCATTTATTATTATTTTTTTATTTGTTTAAATATGCCATTGCTATTTTCATAATTTCTGTTATCCAATCTATAATACAACATCCCTTCATTATTCAGTATAAATTTCATTCCGATACCTCTTATACTTCAAAAGTTATTCAAAAATGTCACCAAATTTTACGATCCGGACCACTGTGTGACGGCGCGGCGCGGACGATGCGTATTCGCGACCGAAGAGCCTCGGGCATCTTCGGCGTCACGTGACAGAATCGGGCGCGATCGGACCTCCTGCGCATTCGACGCCTCGCGCCCCACGATCGTGATCGTTCACTCTTTCGAACAAAGCGTCCGCCACTGCGTTATAGTATTTGTAACCACGTTTCTATATAATCAACCACTGAATGTGAGTTGGTTGTTTGGGGTCAAATGATCCCTCTCTAGTATGGTAAAATGATCCCAGGAATCATTTTACCCATATGCTGTGTTATTGTTTTTTGTTTTAGTTACAGCAATGCCCCGTCAGTATGAAAGAAAAACAATGCGTCAAAGCTGGAGCGAAGCTTCAATGACAAGTGCTCTAGAAGCTGTTGAAAAAGGTTTGCCTTATAAAACAGCAAGTAAACAATTCTCTGTACCTGTGATGACTCTGAAAAGAAGAGCCAAAGGAAAAAATATCCATGCTATAGGTTCAATAAAGCTTCTGGGGAGCAAGCGTACAGTTTTTACACAGGAACAAGAACACGAACTTGTTCAACACATACAGGATATGGAGTCCAGAATGTATGGTTTGACGACTCGAGACATCCTTTCTCTCGCGTATCAATTGGCTGAGAAAAATAAAATAAAACACCCCTTTTCTACGGAAAAGGGTAAAGCCGGTATTGACTGGCTAAGAGGATTCCGCAAACGAAATCCTAATATCAGTCTCCGCACTCCCGAATCAACATCGGCTGCGCGAGCGCGTGCTTTTAACAAGCCAGTTGTTGATACATTTTTCCTTACGTTGAAAAACATTCAAGAAGAACATTCATTCCCTTCACATCGCATTTTTAATGTTGATGAGACTAGTTTAAGCACTGTTCCTACGAAAAATACAAAAGTGTTCGCAAAAACGGGTCGTAAACAGGTGGCAAGAGTAACGTCATCTGAAAGAGGCGATACAACTGCAGTTCTGTGCATGTCAGCTTCTGGCAACTTCATACTACCAATGCTAATTTTTCGCAGAGTTCGGATGAAAAATGAACTAAGGGATGGTGCACCTCCAGGGTCTGCTTATGCATGCAATGCGTCAGGCTGGATGAAATTGGAAGTGTTCGCACAGTGGTTTGAACATTTTTTGACCCACGCAAAACCGTCTGCCGAAGATCCCGCACTTTTAATATTGGACGGTCACCTTTCACACACCAAAAACTTAGGCGTCATATTAAAAGCAAGACAACATAATGCCACTATTTTATGTCTGCCACCACACTGCACGCACAAACTCCAACCGCTGGACGTTGGGGTGATGTATCGATTAAGCGTATACCATAACCAGGCTTTAGAGAAGTGGATGAATAACAATCCTGGAAGAGTGGTCACAGTTTTCCAAATAAGTAAAATTTTTGCTGAATCTTACCTGAAAGCTGCAGTTCCTTTAAATGCCATTAATGGATTTTCAAAATGTGGTATATTTCCGTATAACCCTGATGTTTTCTCTAATGTCGACTTCATTGCTGCTGAAACGACTGAACAGTCTATGGAATCTGACACTTCAAGACCAACTCCTTATATTGGTTCAGTATCTAATACGATACAGCCTCCAGCTTTACCTATTGCTTTCCATTCCTTCCCGCAGGATACAATTATGCAACTATCTCGTCAAGCTACACCATCACCCACATATGCAGAACAAAATAATTCACCATCGCTCTCTATCATTACAACTTCACCCTCCACAATGCATAATCCCATGTCACCGATTCCATCAAGTTCCTTCGCTAATTTTACTCCAAGCAATATTTAATCAATGCCAAGAATATCAGGGAAAAGAAGTCACTCTAGGAGAGTACGAGGTAACGCATCAATAATAACTAGCACTCCCTACAAAAATCAATTGGAAGAGGAAAGAAAAAAGAACACTAATTTGGAACGGAAACGAGCTTTACGCCAGGAAAAGAAAGCAAAGACTTCTACTATCTCCCAAAAAGTAAAAGGGAAAGGAAGGAAGAAAGGGACCAACCAAAAAAGAAATAGTAAAGAAAATAGGCACCAAATATCGGAATCGTCTTCAGACGAAGATGACACAGAATGTCTGTTCTGTAATGAGAAATATTCGAGAGACAAGGGAGGTGAAGAGTGGATAAGATGTTGTGTCTGCTTGAAGTGGGGGCATGATGATTGCGTTGGGGTAGACAACAACAATGACGCTGATGACTTTACCTGCGATTTCTGCCTCCAGGATCGCTTCGCTGGTGCACAAAAAACTTTGCGTCTGTGAAACTGATCTTATTTTCTTATGTTTATTGGTTTATTTTAAGTATTTCTACTCAGTTATTATGTACCAAAAATTATCTATGTTTTTATTTTTTTATGAGCTTATTTTATGTTCGTATATTTTATAATTGAGTTTAATTCCTGTTTTTATTTAAATAAAATGTAATAAATGAGATGCTTTTTAATGTTCGTCTTATTTACTGTCAGTAGGTATAAAATGATCCCCGGGGATCATTTTATACACATACATGTACAAAATGATCCTTAAGCATGTCTTCAGAGAAATGTAAATAAAACATATAATTGATCAGGTAGCTAAATTTTATTTAAGCCAATGACAAGATAAATAGACTAACTTCCAAAAACTACTTTACTTTTATTTAAATAATGAGCATTTGTATTTTTTATATGAATTACGCCTTACAGGGATCGTTTTATACACCTTTCCCCTATACATTTTTATTTATGCTTGATTCCTTACGTGCTTATCGCAGAAAACTTTTGTGCATATTTAAAAATTCATGCGTTTTGTTACGTTGCTCCTCGTTGTTTACGTTGCCGAGTGACGTACCGAATTTCGGCAGAAAAACCCGAAGGGGCAGCGCAGATGGACAAGGGAGACGACAGTGAGCATAGTGGGAGAGGAGTGGGGGTACTTAGTCCCACGATTCTGGCATCACTGGGCATCAGATCACAGTAACGCTTCACCAACGTGAGTAGTGAGTACACGAAAAAAAAGTGAGTATTATAATACCGTACAGTGTAAAGCAATGTTTCCGAAAGTGTTGTTAAACACTGCCGTAAAGTATAGCATGTTACAGTGTAAATATTATTTATGATAAGGTCTTATATAAATAATTTTATTTAGACATGGACAATGTGACAGAAACTGTGATGGAAGTCTCCGAACCGGAACCGGAGAAAAAAGAAAAAGAAAAGGAGAAAGAGCAAAAGTGTGAATTAGAGCCAACAATGGCAATTGTAAGTAAAAGTGTTGACTTTTAGTTATTGTGTACGTATGTGAAAACTCTGCTCTTGCTCAGCCCTGTTTTAGATAATTACCGCATTGTCATGAAATGATTCTTGGTTTCATTATTTGTTTTCTTATCGTATTATTAGTTTTATATCGTATTCTTCAATATTGTCGATGATATATCATTTTTATCACAATTTTTACTTCGATAAAATTTTTGCCAAGATGTTTATTAGATAAACAGTTTTGCTCAATTCTGTGCTCAACTCTGCTCATGAGTACTCGAGTCTCTCACCCGGTTCAAAGGAATAGTCTATTTCGAATAAAATGGTAGTACATGCATATGTATTTTTGTTCGATATTTTTGGAACGTCCTGTATATGTATATCACAGGTGGGTAACTAATCGCTCACCTCTGATATACAGGGTGGCCCACATAACACTTAACAGCTCAATATCTCGAAAACTATGCCATCGATTTTAAAGTTCTTGATCATAAATTGCATGAATCTGAAGGGCCTTTCTAACTACATAAACGTGAAGTGGCCCCCCCTTCCCCTTTAAGGGGAAGGGGGTACCTTTATAATTTTAAATGGAACCCCCTATAAAACGTTACATATTTAGATTCTACAGGAAAAAACAAGTAAATTTTGTTTAAAACATTTTTTTGTCAGATATTTCCATGATGAGATATAACAGCTTGAAGTTTCGACTTGTAGGTACTTACTTGAAGCGCTCGGAAATTGCGTTATTGAATTACCTATACGCGCTTGAGTCCTTTGCTTATTCGTGAAGAAACAAAAACAATAATAATTACAATTCTTGAGTTTGATTCAATTATCCATGAAAACGATCTCAGTTTAGAGCTGTTATTCAAGCAGTAACATTGGGATTATGGCTATTTTTGATACAGAAGTGAATATGTTATTAGTTTTAGGTGAATGCCAAAAAAATTATCGGCGTGCAGCAGTGATGTTTTTTGAACGTTATGGGATCGAAAAATCTCATGTAACATTTTATAATTTAGAAAAGCGGCTTCGTGAGCATGGTGGATTGTGTAAAAAATCGAAATTTCAAACTGTTATATCTCATCATGGAAATATCTGAAAAAAATGTTTCAAACAAAATTTACTTGTTTTTTTCTGTAGAATCTAAATATGCAACGTTTTATAGGGGGTTCCATTTAACCCTTTTCGTACCGAACGACGACATATCGTCGTTCGGTGCACTTGCCAAAAATACCAACGACGATATATCGTTGCGCCTCCGTTGGAGTCTTATTGTACTCATCACAAGAGGTCTGTGTTTCAAAATAACTTTATAAAATGTTAAAATGGTTCATATTCGATGCAACACA